CAGGAGGGCAGCTGGTGCTGGCAGGAGATCCTCGGCAGCTGGGCCCTGTGCTACGTTCTCCACTGACACAGAAACATGGGCTGGGGTACTCGCTGCTGGAACGCCTGCTCACCTTCAACACGCTATACAAGAAGGGCCCCACTGGCTATAACCCCCAGTTCATAACCAAGTTGCTGCGCAACTACAGGTATTTCTGTACCCTCACTTCTGCTGCTACACAACCTTCACAGTCTCTGTAGCCCTGGCTGCGGGTTCTGCTCTGCACGCCTGTTGCTCAGAGGCTATGATGAGAAAGACTATAAAGTGGAAGGTCAGAGGTCTTTCTAGCCCATCTCTGCTACCTGTCTGTGTGATTTAGCAAGTGCTTTTATCGTTGGACTACTTTATTTGGCTTTCTGTGCATTGGGGGTGGTTGGATACTAGGATGTGTCTGATGTAGACCTCAGATAAAGTTTCCAGGCAATCCAAGGAGAAATGAGAAAAGGGAGACTAGTTTTTGTTTTTAGACAGGTTCTTTTTATGTAACCCAGACTGGCCTTAGACTCCCGGGCTCCAGTGATCTTCCTGTCTCAGCCACCCAAGTAACAGACTACAAGGTGTGTCCTGGCTTATGTACTTTTCTGTAAATGACTTCAGACATCAGGAATTCTTAAATGAATATCAGGCTGTCACTAAGAGTTCAGTATGTATCAGTTATGTCATTGCTTCTCACCTTTTTAGGATGTGTGTGTGTGTGTGTGTGTCTTTTTAAGATAAGGTTTCATTATAGAGTTCAGGAAGGCCTTGAACTCACTCTGTAGCCCAGTCTGGTGTCAAACTCACAATGACTCTCCTGTCTCAGCCTCCTGAATGCTGGGATTACAGATGTGCGTCATCACACTGGCAACGTCTTTTCTGGATGTAACATATCAAGTAATGGCAATAGATGATAATTTTTTGTACTGTCCTAAGAAGGGGTTCCTAATTTCTTAGTTTTTAAAAGTAATTTGGAGCCAGATCTGGTGGCTCAAACATAATACCAGCACTTGAGAAGCTAAGGCAAGAGGATGTGGAGTTTGAGGGCAGCCTGGACTACAGGGAAAATTCAAGACCGAGTCTGGATCACGTGGCAAAACATTGTCTCAAAAATAAAATAATCCAGGCATAGTGGTACATACCTGTTGTCCCAGCACTCAGAAGGCTGAGACAAAAGGATCACCCTTGAGTTCCAGGCCAATTGGAATACATAGTGAGATCAAGGCCAGCCTAAACTATATTAGACTATGTCTCAAACAATTAAAAAAAAGAGAGAGAGAAAGAGATAAGAAAAGCACAAATTCAAGTCCAGCCTGAGCAATTTAGTGATACCCTGTCTCAAAAAATTTTTATGAAAGGCAAGAGAGGCCTGGTGTGGTACACATTCCTGTAATCCCAGCCCACAGGAGGCTGAGGCAAGTGGCTTACTGCAAGTTCGAGGCCAGCCTAGGCTACAAAGCAAGTTCAAACCCAGCCTGAACTGCAGAGCAGAACCCTGTCTCAAAAAGACTCTATATACATATATAAAGTAGTGGGGGATGGCACTCTGTCAGGGCTTAGAGTTCAGTTCCCAGTACCACAAACACAAGTTCGTAAAAAGAATTTGGTCAATGCAATCCAGCTTTGTGAAACCACATTTTATTCTTCTTTCTGTGGTTGCAGAGCCTGGCAGCAGAGATAGGGTAGCTGAGTACTCCTGTTATGCAGGGAGCCGAAGTGCAGGAGGACAATGTGTATGGCTCCAGGGGACAGCAGAGCAGGGCAGAAGCTGCTCCCCACCCTCCCCAAAGCAAAACAGAAGTAACTCAGTACTTGTTCTTACTCTTCCTGCCTCCTAGGTCTCATCCCACCATCCTGGACATTCCTAACCGACTCTATTATGATGGCGAGCTGCAGGCCTGTGCAGACGTGGTGGACCGAGAACGATTCTGCCACTGGGAAGGGCTGCCTAGAAAGGTGAGGCTGTGCCTTGACAGGCAAGGCTGAGCCCTCAGGGCTAGGCTCAGGCCTCACCCCTGAGGCCCAGCTTCCCTCCTCCCTGAAGGTGCGGGGCAGGAGGAGGCTGAGTGGATGCTGTGGGTCCCTCCCTTTATCCTGGTCTAAGCGTTATGTCCTGGAAGGGTTTGGAGGTGGGGGGCAAGTAGGAGGTTCTGGCTAAGGGTTTCCTCTGACCCTGTGTCCAGGGCTTTCCTATCATCTTTCACGGCGTAATGGGCAAAGATGAGCGTGAGGGCAATAGCCCATCTTTCTTCAACCCTGAAGAGGCCGCCACAGTGACTTCCTACCTGAAGCTGCTCCTAGCCCCTTCCTCCAAGAAGGGCAAAGCCCGCGTGAGCCCCCGAAGTGTGGGTGTCATCTCCCCATACCGGAAGCAGGTCAGGCCATCAGTTCCCAGCTGCTAGTGTGGGACTTCTCCCCAGGTGGTGCCTCCCTAATAATCAGACCAGCAGGCAGAGCCTCCAGGGCCCTCAGCTTGTGCTGACCGAAAGATCTCAAGAGATAAAGCTGTCCCTTCCCTTTGTCCCCAGTTCCCTTATCACTGCCTTGTTCCCTCTTGCCTTGGGGTGATGGCTTGAGAAAGGAGTCTTTCCCTCCCTCCAGGTGGAAAAAATCCGGTATTGCATCACTAAACTTGACAAGGAGCTTCGGGGACTAGATGACATCAAGGACTTGAAGGTGACAGTCTGTTCCACATTTCCTCGCTTCCTTATGTGTACCCCTCTCTTCCTCACTTCCAGGGACCTCAGCTTCTGTGTTTGTGCTCCAGTCCAACCCATGTCCCGGTCTCATCCCTACTCCTTCAGGACAGAACTGGGGCTCTCCCCAAGCCTCTCACTCCTAGATAGGGAATCTTGTAGGTCTGGGATGGAATTGGAAGCCAGTGTGTTTTAACAAGCACCCATGACATGTCATCCTTGTGAGCAGGCCGGTTTGAGGCCTCTGCCGTGAGGGTGAAGTCCAGATTCCATGGCCTGTCTCCACCTGACCTATGATATTGTCCCCCCACCCTGTAGTAGCTGGCTGCTTTCTCTCCCTCAGGTGGTGGTTTGTAACACTGGGAATAGCTAAAAACCACCAGAATTGTTTTTAACACTGCCAGGGCCAGGGCCCCACCCAGCCAATTAACACAGCTATGGGGCAGAGCCAGGGCCCTAGTACTTTTTACAGCTCCTCTAGTGATTCTGATTTGCAGCCAGTGTTGAAAACTCCTGTACAGTCTAGAGGCCCCTGCCTTGGAAATTCTGATCAGGGCGTCTGAATTCGGGCTTAGGGTTCTACAGTCTTAACATATTTCAGAAGCACTGTTTTGAGTTACCATGTTCTCTGCAATGCTATCTGCTTTGCTTTGAAACTTTCCAGGCCCCACACTCATAAGCAGCTTCATCCTTAAGCTTTCTACTTCCACTGCAGCCTCTCATCCTCTTTCGGCACCCACCTGCTGATCTCCAACTGCCAAGTAACTGTGCTGTACCCACCTCATCGCTCACGTTCCCCAGGGTAGCGCTTGTCCCTGTGGTTCCCTCCCTTGTGCCCATCTGCTCTCAGCTCTTGCCTGTCTGCTCTAGGTGGGCTCCGTGGAAGAATTCCAAGGCCAAGAACGCAGCATCATCCTCATCTCTACCGTGCGAAGCAGCCAGAGCTTTGTGCAGCTGGACCTGGACTTTAACCTGGGTTTCCTTAAGAACCCCAAGGTTTGAGGGCTTGTGGTTGGCAGGAAGTCTTCCTTCTTCAGGCCTTTCCCTTCTGTGACTCTACCCTTCTTTCTTCCAGAGGTTCAACGTGGCTGTGACCCGGGCCAAAGCTTTGCTTATCGTAGTGGGCAACCCCCTTCTCCTGGGCCATGACCCTGACTGGAAAGCGTGAGCATTCCCACCCCAAAACCCCTTAGTGGCCACAGGCCCCAACCTAGCACAGGTATAGCTTTATTAAGCAGCTGCTTATGGCTCAGTCAATCCTTACGTGGGTTAATCTTCACCACAACCCCATATCTGTGAGTGACTGACATCCTGAGGTTGAACAGCCCCTGGCTCAGATGTGGCAGGACCAGCACTGAGCCTTCACACTCTACTGGTAACTGCTCCATGTGTCCCAATGCCCTTGTACCCCACAGATTCATAGAGTTCTGTAAGGAAAACGGGGGGTACACTGGGTGCCCTTTTCCTGCCAAACTGGACCTGCAGCAGGGATACAATTTACTCCAAAATCTGAGCAAACTCAGCTCTTCTACCTCAGGTAGGGCGGGGCAAGGGTGGGCCAGGTTGGGGACAGTGTTGGAAGACATAAAGAAAACAAAGCACACTGCTGACCTTCCAGGGGCCTGCGGTCAAGACTGCCTCCCTCAGGAGCAGGACAGTGAAGGGTGCCTGTCACTGCAAGTGGAGCCAGAGTGGAGGAATGAGCTCTGAAGACACAGCTGCCCACCCTCTCATGCCGTTGGAGCCTTAACCCACTGCTACCTGACCCTGAACTAGAACCCAGCTAAACTGTCCCGAGGGACAGGAAGGCTGGGAGAGTTTACAACCAAGCCATTCCACCCTTTCTCCTGCTGTGGAGAATCAAGCTGCTAATGATTGGGGGAGGGGAGGAAGAAAAACTGAAAAAATCTTGTTCTATACAAAAGCCTCTTGCTCATCTCTTCAGCTGGGCCCCAGCTTCCTGCACACCCAAACTGACCTTACTGGAGGGTGAGACTTGTCACACCCTACCCAGGGCCACACCTCCTTGAAGTCCAGTGGAGGAAATCTAGTGGGCTGGAGCCACCCACAGGTTTCTAAGTTTAGCCCCTGCAACAGACCACTCCCCTTACTGCCTCCCAGGCCTGAAGCCAGGCATGACCTCATTCTTAGCTCCCAGGCTCCACCCTACCACTGTAGTCCTGCCTCTGCTGACTAGGGGATCAGTCTGGCAAAAATTTGGGAATGAAAACAGATGAGACTTACAGCTAAGATAGGAACCAGGAAGAAGACAAAGCTGCCACACACATGTTGGAACCTGCAACTTTTATTCATGCCCCCCACCAAGGGAAATCACAAAGGCCTCTGTCCAGAGCAGAAACCTATCTCCTACTTTAGACCTGCTTTTAGGGGCCAGAAGTGTATAAAGTGCTGGTGTGTGACTGTTCTCTGGGGAAGGCCAAACGGAGCAGGAACCCCACCTCTGGACCAAGGCAGCAGGGGCAGGACCTCTGCTCAGGAAGGACAGGGCACAGGCCTGGTTCCCAGAGGGAGGAAGGGAGGGCCCACCACTACCTCAGGGCTGGGAAACTCAGTGCAGTCCTGGGCAAGAGGAAACTGAAAAAGAGTGCCTTCAGCTCGGAATCCTAAGGGTGTAGGTCAGGTGGGTGGGTTATTTATATACCCTTGTGAAGTGGGGGCAAACTGGAGGCAGCGGGATCTCACAGAATGGGGCACCCCCTCCGGCGCTTATTCTTGCGGACCTGGAGGCCAGCCCGAGTGGCCATCTCAAATACCTCCCGAACCCCCTCCTTAGTCTTGGCTGAGCACTCAAGGTAGCCAAAGGCACTAATCCGATTCGCCATGTCCCGGCCTTCTTCAGATCGAACAGGCTCCTGAGAAGATGACAAAAAGTCAAAGAAAGCTGGTGGCTAGGCACCTCACCAGGACACCTATAAGTGCAGTAATTCCTGCCCTAACCCCACAAGCACCCAGACCCTCAGCTACAGCAGGCAGGAATCTAAGATGCATGACTGCGTTGGAAATTCTCTCCAGGCTGTTCCTTCCTCCCCTTCCCACGATGGTACACACTTCTCACTCCTGAATGACCTCCCTACCTCACTCGTCCAGTCTAGCCAGCAGGGTATTTTTTTTTTCTAACTTGCCAACCCGACATGTGTCCCCAGATTAAAGCCTCACCATAATTATCTTCCCAAGATAGTGTACATTCCATATCCTGACAGCTTCCTGTAGTAAACCAGTCCTCCAGCTAGAGCCACTTAGCAAGACCTTGAGTGGGGCCCGCTGGGGCTGCCTCCCCAGCCACTGATAAAGCACAGCAGCCTTCTCCCAGCTGCTCTGATGGCACAGTGCATATCCCAAGTGACAAGTACACTATCCCTTAGGACAAGGACTTTCTTATTCATTTTAGTAGTCCCAATTCAAAGATGAGTAAAGAAAAATCCCAAGTGAGCTTAGACTAGTCACTTCATTCAATCATTTCATCAGATGCAAAGGACCCATTACTTCAGGGTGCACGTATGTGAGAGCAGGAGGTAGCTCTCACCATCACTTCTACACCCAGCAGCTGGCTGGAGAGAAGGTTTCTTTCTCTCCTAGAGTGCAGCCCTCAGGGCACCTTCCTAAGGGCTCCCCCACAGGCAGCTGTACCCACCTGCTTCATCTTGGCCAGCTCTCTCCTGGTGTGCTCATCTTGTCTCAGGTCCTTCTTATTGCCCACTAAGATAATGGGCACATTAGGGCAGAAGTGCTTCACCTCCGGGGTCCACTTCTCAGGAATGTTTTCTGCACAGACAAGTTCCAACGGGTATTAGTACCTCTATGTACAGGAGGGGGCCCTCATCTTCTCACGGCAGTGTCAGACTATTCAGCCTGACAGTCCCTTTCACAGCACACGCCTCTGCCCTATGTCCTCCCAAAGGCCACAGGTGCCAAAGCAAAGAGATGAGCAGAGCCTCGGTGTCCCCCACGTCCCCATGCCCACACCCTCAACCACTGAAGATGGCTGATGGGAGAGGTCTCCATCCCTCCCTCCAGTACCCTCACCCAGGCTATCCGGGCTGTCGATGGAGAAGCACATGAGGATGACATCAGTGTCCGGGTAGGAGAGAGGCCGCAGACGATCATAGTCTTCCTGCCCTGCAGTGTCCCACAGAGCCAGCTCCACCTGACACACAAGGCCAGTGAGTCACTGGCCTGAAGGCCCTAACCCTGCCACCCAAAGGTCTTCTCTTAAATGACTGATGTGTAGGTTCTTAGAACATCTATCTGACCACTTACTATGGATTAATCACTGTCACACAACAAGCTTAACTGAATTAAAGAAAAAAATCTAAAATGCATCTGACTTTAGCGGTATATGAGTTGCCATTGTGAGCATGTTTTATTTAATCCTCATATAAACTCTTTTAGGGAGGTCATACCATCACCTCCATTTTACAGTGAGGGAAGTTGAAATCCAGAAGCAAAGGGATGTGGCCCAGGCTATAGAGCCAGGAGACACCGTTAGGTTTTGTAAGACTACACGATCACTTCCCAGCTTTTACAGGTTTCAGCAAGGAGAGTGAAGCAAGGATGTGCTTGGGTGGTAAGGAAAACATACTGGGTCCCTGTACAGCCAGGGGTAGGGTTCCAAGACAGACAGGAAAGGGTTCATGGCCTTTACCTGCTTCCCATCCACCTCTATGTCCGCAATATAATTCTCGAAGACCGTTGGGACATAGACCTCTGGAAACTGATCCTTACTGAAGACGATGAGGAGGCAGGTCTTCCCACAGGCACCATCCCCTACAATCACCAGCTTCTTTCGAATTGCAGCCATGGCTGGGTCTGGCAGGAAAAAGGCAGTGGGGATTTGGGGAAAAGCTAGCAACTCCAAAACACTTTTTTTTTTCAAACACTTTTAAAATCTCCCTGCAAACCCAGCATCCAGCAATGGAAGGGAAAAGAAGGCAGCCTGTTCAAGCATGTTCTTGCCAAGAACCAATTCTGCAGGCAGCAGACCTTAAAGTTCCTAATCTGTGAGTCAGGGACAAGTCTTTCATGGGTTAAAACAGTTAAACCAGTAGATGTAGAAGAAGAACACACTTCAGAGCTAGAAAACTTGAGTTCTGATCTCTTGTATTCAGTCTGGGAATGCTGGACACCTAGAGAGAGGAGCTTAGAGATGTCTCCAAAACAGCCAGTCTTTACCTGCTTCACATATCAGAGACTAGGATTTCTGATACATTTAAAATTTAATACGGTGCATTCTAGAACAGGTTGTCCCTCAGCTTAAGTCACGCCTGCATAGTCACAACTGAGGAGTCCCTCTCCAAGACAACAGAGTAGCAGAACCAGCTCAAGGTAGTGGGCGGATAAGGAAAAGAATATTTGTACAGCCCTGGGTATCCTGCACTACAATGGGCATTTTGACAAAAATTACCTTCCTGAGACTTCAGACACCTGTTGGGGTACAGCACACTTCCTATTCTGGGAAACTAGGGCTCAGTGAAGGTTACACAAGTATTCAATGTCTGGCACACAGGTGGCAGCGTTCAAATCAAAACTGCATGCCTCAAGAGCCTGAACCTTTTCTACTTGTCACCCCAGAGGTAGAAAGGATAGCCGAAGCAGGAAAACCCAGACAGAGGGAGTGGCAGCAGCCGGCAGGCTTCTCTGACCCATCCTACCCAGTTCCACAGCTGGGAGTCACACAAAGAAGGCTCAGTCCAGGCAATGGCCACAGCTTGCATTTGGGCAGCCTGCCTTCCTCTCTCTTTCCTCTGGGGTCTGGCAACGACACTGGGTCACTCAACCCCAGGCAGGGGACAATGACCACACTGTAGAGAGCCACACATCCACCACAGCAGCGACTGAAAATAATCCACTGGGCAATCACCTCCACCCACTCTCAAGGACAGCTCCTTTCTCCTCTCTCCAACTCACTTCTGGGCCCAACCCACCCCTCCCTGTGACTCAGGGCAAGGAGTCAGCTTCCCAGGTTTGCAAGTGTCCCTCAGCCCCAGCACAGGAACCAGCAGTGCATCACACCTTCACAGCTTCCCTTATTTCCTCCTTCCCTGGAGGGGGAACTGACCTCCGGCTGGCAGGGATTCCCAGGCCTACAGCCTAGGAGGAAGAGGGTGTGCCCTGAGCTGAGCTTAAGTCAAGGCTGTTGTGAAGGGGGAGGGGGCTAGAGCCTGGGCGGGGAGGAGCCCCAAAAAGGAAAGACAAATGAGGCCCAGTCCTACCACCAACCAGGCAGGGAGCAGTTAAGAAGGGGACAGTAACCTGATCTCTGCCCAAAGCCTGGCTTTTTCTTTCAGTCCCACATCCTGTCAAGCTAGGCTGAACTCCTGTACTCCCCACATACCACTACCACCTCAAACTCTGGCCTTGGCCTGCCTCTTAGGAAGTAGAGTACTACAGCCCCAGGCTGTTTCTCTTCAACAGCAGGATCCTGGGTGGCCCCTCCCTCCCTCCTTCCACACACATTCACAAAACTGAGATGTGGGGGAAGAGGACATGAATCACAGAGAATTTACAGGAGTTGAGAGTACATTGCCACACTCTTCTCCACCTCGGAGGATCTCTCCCTAATACTCCAAAAGACAGGCAAGAAGGCATTCCCCCAGCCAGGAGATCCCCTTCAAAAAGAGGTACCCTGGGAAGTTCAACCAGGGGACTGACACTGGGATTTTCTTCCAACAGAGCCACCGACTCCTATCAGTTCTACTGGTCCAGCTGTACACAGGCCTGGGTAGCTCCAACCTGGCTGATGGAGGGCAATCACTGCTGGGCAAAATACCAACTACTTGAGCCTGAGTACACCTCTGCTGTTGCCTAGTAAGGCAGCTGGCACAGGTGGAGCCAGACAGGGGTGCACATTAAATGACCTGGAACCCTAGCTCACAACACTTTTCCTGCAGCTCCAGTTGGGTTAAAGAACAGGCAGCCCAGGCCAGGCCAGGCCACTAGGCCCCAGGCCAAGATGGCACAGACAACAACTCCCTGTGAGAGGCAGCCCCAGAGAACTGCCCCACTGACCTGGAGAGGGGCAGGCGAAGCCCACGGGGAGTCTGGAATGGAGCCTGGGATTTGTGGGCCCTTTTCTACAACAAGACACTGTTGGAGTCACTAGCCCTCCCCTCTAATTCTGTCGTCTCCCCAGACGATCAGGGCTGGGGGGAGGGGGCGTGGAATGGGGGGAGGGGTGTTGTATCCTGCTCAATCTTTGGCTGTCCAGAGAAGTAATCAATCTCGTGGACATCGTTCTTTCTCAACTTTGAAACCGGAGTTAAGATCTTGGCCTCAGGTCCCCCAGCCCAAACTCTCAGGATAATCTTTATGCTAGCTTGAGAGGAGGGAGGTCTTACATATATACACACACAGGATCCTTTTAGCTCCCCACTATCGCAGGCAGACCCCCAGAACCTTCCAGGACTGTCCAGACCCAGCCAGGAGCGGTCACACCCGCCTCTACTCCCGCCATCCCACCCTCTGGGCCTGGGGATTCCCACCGCCCACCCCACTCCCGGTCCCGGTCGGGCCGTCCGGACTGGGAGCTGAGCGTCTGGGCTGGGCCCCCTCGCGCCGCGGGGGAGGTTCCGGGAAGCTGGGAGGGAAACGGGAGGGAAGGAAGGGGCTCCGGTCAGGGCATCAGGAGGCGACAGGCCCTGCCAGGCAGTTCCGGGGCTCCCTAGCTGTCGCCTGCAGAGGGGACCCCCGGGGAGCTCGGACGCTGTGGAAGGGAACGCGGCCCACGCCCGGGACGAAGCCCCCTCCCCGGCCGCGCCCGGGGGTAGAGCAGAGGGGGAAGGGAAAGACGCGGGAAAGTGCTCTCCGCGGAGAGTTCCAGGACAGCCCCCGCCCGGGCCCGCGCCCCGGTACCTCCGGCTCCACCGCCTCCAGCTGCGCCGCCGGTGCCGGAGGCTGAGACTGACCCGAGGGGCCTCCCCGCCCTCCTCAGCGCCACGGCGGGAAGGGCGGGGCGACCGAGGGGGAGGGTCGGCGGGCGGCCCCTGGCTCCGGCCCCGCCCTGGCCCCGGCCCGGGCCCCAGCCCCAGGCTGCGGAGTCGCCCAGAGCTGCCTGGATTCCGTGCGATGGGCGCTGAGCCGGGGAGGCGAGACCCCCGAGGATCCAGCTTCTGCTCCGGCTTCCAGGCCCTAGGGACGGACCAGAGTCGGGAAAGTTGAGAGGCGCTCGGGGTGGGGTCAGGAAGGCGCGCTGCTGCCCCCCGGTGGTCAAGGAGCCTCCCACTTCTGCTCCATCTGGGCCCTTGCAGGAGGGAGAACTGGGAAATCGAGGCTCAGAAGATGCTCAAATCCTGCTCCTAGGGCCATTGGGGAGCAAGCACAGCCCAGTCATCCCAGGCTTCGGAGACTTTTCAGGACCTCCAGAGCCGAACCACCGTTTGTCCTCGCGATCCCCTTCTTTCTCCAGCCTGGAGTTGCCATTTGGCCAATTCCTACCTATTCAAAGAGAACTGAAAATTCTTCCGGAACTCCTGCTGGAAAATCAGCTCCCACTTCTATTGTATTGTGCTGTTAGGGACTTGCCCGAGTCTGAGCTCTTGCACAGTTATTTACCCATACGTGTATCTCTCGTGAGGCTGCTGAGGAGGTAGATAGAGGAGGAAGTCTACTAACATTTTATTGGCTTGTGCAGGGTACATCACGATATCACGTAGCTCAACCTTTCATATACTGAACACAGAGCTTTTGCCTGTAACGAAATTGAGCTTCAGAAGTAGCTAAGCAAATGTTTGTGATTTGTGACATCAAGAATTCATAAGCCTGTGTAGCCCCAACGGATGGTGTATTCAGGGAGACTATTCCCCAATGTCTAGCAGTCTGTGGCACATGGTAGGTTTTCAGAGATTTGTGGAATAAATGTAAGTTGGAAGTCTGACCCTGCAGATCTGAAGTACAACCCACACATTTGGTAAATGAGGAAACTGAAGTCCAAAGCAGTTTGATCTTCAAGCCACTTATTCAAACATTTACTGTGAACAAGGAGGTATGCCTGTTTTTAAAATAATTTACAGTCTAAAAGAATGCAGGTCATTTTTTTGGTCTTTTTGAGATAGTTAACATTTATTGAAATCTTGTTATGTGGACCTCTTATGGATAAGTAATCTAGGAAGTAATCACTATACGGAGGCATGCCTGGGATGGGCGTCCTACAGGTGAATCCTACATATAGGACAAGTGACATGTTCAACCTAAGGCGAAGTGCAGATTTTAAGTTGGAGCTACTACAGGCCCACTGAATTACAGGAACACCAGGTGGGTGGTGTGATGGTAGATGTGGCTGGAGATGGGCCCGGCATTTAGCTCAGGGACGTCAGCGCCTGCCTGGTAAGCACAAGGTAGTGAGTTCAATTCTCTGTACCAAAAAGAAAAAAAAAAAAAGATGCAGCTGGAGAAGGAAACAGCTAGATCAGAAAGCTCCTCATATGCCACTGGTGAATGCCAATTTTTTTTGAGGTGTGAAAAGGAGCCACTGAAGTAGGGAAGCAGATTAATTAAAGAATTAAGGTGATGATAATAAGGGGAAGGTAAGTGAACAAATAGGAAATATTATATCTCTGGGTATGGTGGTACCTAGAATATGGGAGGTTGAGGCTGAGGCCAGCCTATACTACATAGTGAGAATCTGTCTCAAGAAAACCAAGGGCCAGGGATATAGCTCAGTGACACAGCACCTGCCTGGCAAATGCAAGGTCCTGACTTTGATTCTCAGTACAAAAAAATTTAATATACCAAGATGGTATAGCCTACTACATATATGGTAACATACTATCATACATGCAGCTCACTGTCATTAAAAAACTCACAAAAAGAAGACTTCTAAAACCGCTTCAGAAACGGCAAGAAAAATGGGACTTTTGTTCCACCTAAGGGGAATTACTTTGTGGTTGATCAGTGGCAATGTGTCTCTTACTGCACTAAATTTTAAACATCTAAACATTCACAACATATTCTGATCATATCATGTTAAGATCAGGAAGAGTCTGGGGTGCATACACTAACCTAGAAGACATCAACAGATGGAAGCCACAGAAGTGGATAGGGACTCTAGTATAAGTGAACTGAGTGGGAAGGGGGGGCAGAAGGAAGAACTGGGGATAAATCATAATTTTAGAGCTGCTCTGGTATTCTTTCCCCACCCTCTTACCTTTCAGTTTCTAATCAAAGAAAATAAAGACACACACCTTTATTCATCCAGTTTATTTGCCAATAGCTATAATTCTGGTTCTGTTAGACCTCCCTTATTTAACCTTAGTTAACTTGTCACTAAAGAAGGGTCAAGGAGACAACTTCAGAATTTGGGCTGGGAAAGGGGATGGTGGTAGGATGGCTGCGGCTGAGCCCCTCAGGAGTAATTGCCTGGCCCTCCCAGGGGGATGACGAAGACCGAGATGTCATCCCCGGAACCCAGCTTGTTGTTGGGAAGACGCCAGCCTCGGTCCCGTGGGGTGCCCCGGGCCCCCAGGACCAGAGCTTGGGCCAGAGCTGTATACCTGCCAGGAGCACACATGCAAATTTATGCACCAACATGTGTATGGGAAGACAGATACATAGGCCCATATGTAGGGCTCCAAATGCTTCCCTTTGCCCTTCTTTTGCCAGTGCTATTCCCTCACCACCATGCCATGCAACCCCTACCTGCTTGGGTCATTGGGCTCATAAGCTGACAGCACCCTGTCAACTGTGGTGGCCACCTCACAGTCATTGGTGACATCCCACAGGCCATCTGTTCCCAGGACTAGCACATCATCTGGACAGTGTTCATACTGTGTCAGGTCATATACTCGTACCTGGTGGGGAAAGATACAGAGAGAACTGAGGTATGGAATTTGCAGGTCAAAGCTTGAAGATAAAGAAATCCTGAATGAAAGGTAGCCAAGACCCTCAGAGGAAGGAAGGTGTAGTTCAGGGGAACCCCACAGAACTCACCTCAGGGAAGCAGGAGAGGAAAGGCTTGATGGGCAAGGTAGAACTGCAGACCTTAAGGTTGTGATCTCCTAATCCCCGGGTCACCCCAATGGTGGCCATCACTCTGGCCTGAGGGAAACAAGGAGAGTGCTGCAGTTTAGTACTCTCCAAGACTCTTTCAAAACCATAAAGCCCCCCTGTCCCTACCCACAGGCAGAACCTCCACCTCCCTAGACAAGTAGGTTTTCCTGCCCTCTCCCACCTCTACCATGGAGTTTACCTTTTTGCCCTCCCCACAGACCAGAGGAAACCTGAGATCCTCCAGCTCGATCTTTTTGTAGGCCCTGGGAAGGAGGGGAGTACAGGAGGTATCACCCAGGCATCAAAGCCCCTGTACCCTCGGAGCCACTCACCCTCATACAAACACTTAGAACGATCACATCCCCCAACTCTCAGCCTAGTCCAGCCTCCAGTTTCTACCTTGCTGCTAGTGAGGGGACTGGTTATGTTGCCATGGAAATGGCCCCAGCTCTGAGGGAAGTGTTACCAGCCAGTCATGTTCTGGTCCCTGTACAGCATCCTCTGCCCCAGCTCTTTGGGCTGAATTCTTCGGGGAAACTCAAGGTGGGTGAATTCACTGCCCAGCAGCTCTGGTTTCAGAAAGCCCTAAGATAGAGTGGCCAGACAGAGTAGAAAGCCAGGAGGCATTATGCTCACAGCACACCCAGGCACAAGGCATAGATGCTCTTAATTATAGGCCCTTAAATAAAGGTTACTCATTGCTGTGCACTATTCCAATATTAACACAAGTTAACTCCTTACAACTCACAAGGCAGGAACTGTTGATGCAGAGAAAGTTTAAGGAAACTGTCAAAAGTACACAAACCAGAACTCTAACTGAAGCAGCCGAGCTCCAAAGCTCATGTGTTTTAAGCACTAAGCCATCCTGCCCTTCATGACCTTTGCTGCTCCGTTCTCCCACCTCTATTTCCTTCCTCAGCTGCGCCATAATGGGAGCACAAAACCAGCCCAGGGTCCTTCCTGCTGCCTGATGCCACCAGCTCAGCCAATCTTGAACTCCTTAGTCCACACAGTTGCCTTTCCAGGAGCCTCTCATTAGGAAGCTTTCTGTGTCTGTGGTTGGGCTGTGAGAGTGCTCATGGATAGAGCGTGCAGAAAGGCACAAGACCCAATAAAGGACAGGAGTAGGGAATCTGACTCCTACTTACAAGCAACTGAAGACGCTGGCGCTCAGTCTCCGGCGTAAACTCTCGGGACATTGGAATGACTTCACCATTCCGGACAATGATGGCTCTGCTCAGAGATGGAAAAGGCCGCAGTCCCCTTTGTAGAGAATTGCAGAAAGACCAGGCCCTCCCCATAAGGACCCCTGGGATAAGGACCCCAGCCCCATCTTTCCTCAACTCATGGATAGACTTTATATCCAATCCCACCAGCATGGATCTTTAACCTCCTCCACCTCACTCTTCCATTCTCCCACTCTTGGCAGTGTGGCTCCTTATAGCCACTTTCAGTGCCCTTCTTTCCCATACCTGCTGTCACCTGCATTGGCCACATACACCTTGCCTAGCAGGTACACCACAACCAGTGCACAGCAGCCCCCCTCCACTTGGTGGCCACGTCGCTCTCGGGCCATCTGCTCATCCTGCCAAGTGAGAAAGAGTCAAGGTGAGTGGAAGAAGAGCTTCAGGGCATGGAGTCACTCTCCCACTGCCTCCTGTAGAAATTACCTGGCTCAGCCAGACCACAATCCTAACTGTCCTTTCTCCCCGCTCTCAAAACCAAGGTCTGAGGTGTTGGAGGTTCTCAGGGTTACTACCTCAGGCCACCTGACTCCAGGGTTGACCAGAATTGTTTGTCTAGCAGGCCCTTGGCCCAGGCTACCCACTCACCATGAGCTGGAAGGCATTCTCAATGGCCCCTATGACCAGGCTCTCATGGGTTACTTCCTTCTGTGAAGACCAGCAGGGCTGAGGACCAACCAACTGAGAGGGATCCAAAGCACCTGGGGTCCCAGGGGTAGATGGGAGGCAAAGGGGAGGTGGTGAGGGGTCCTGAAGTATTTCTACTAAGTCCTTTAGCTGCTCCTGGATGTGTCGATGCAATAGCCTAGAGGCCATTTCAGCAGCTCCGCCACCTGCATGTCCATCAAACAGGCCCCAGTAGTAGAAACAGAGTCCCTGGAGGAGGAAAAGTTGGAGGTAAGTAAGCCTCTGTGTGTTGCACACATGTTGCAGGAAGAACTCTCTATAAGTATCCATAAAAACATCAGCAGCCTGAGCTTGGTATTAAAGGCAAATTAAATTTATTCAATTACTCACCTAGGGCTTTCTATGTATCAAGAGAAAGGAAAGTCTCAAGGAACCCAAAATCAGAGGATGAAAGATTTAAAAAATAAACAAAATTTGGTGATTAATTAAATTACCCATAAATACACAAGCAGGCTTTTTTTTTTTTTTTTTTTTTTTTCTGGTACTGGGGATGGAACTTAGATACACAAGCAGTTTAAGTGAAAAAGTAAACATCCATGCTGAGTAGAATATAACAAATTAATCTCAGGTAAGGGTTCTATGGCAAAGGCAGAAAGCTAGTGGGTTAAAAGGCAGGTCTTTTCCACATGTCTCAGATGTAAAACTAGAGATCTGAAATCCCCAGGGAGAGGTGTCCGTGGTAAACTGGTTGAGGGCTTACCTGGCCGCGGCTAGGCTCTCTGTCGACCCCCGAAACACTCCTGCGGCCTTCCACATACACCACTTCACAGCAAGCCTGGTCCTCATTGTGCAGGCTCTTGCCAGCGTTGATGACCCTGCCAGTCAGAGTAACCACATCAGGTTCTGGAATAACCTCCACCTTAGCCGCACATCCTTTCCCGCCTGCTGGCCAAGCTGAGAAAGGTCACAGCCACTGGGGATCCAGGCCAGAGGGAAGAGAAGGGGGCCCCTCAAGGAGTGCTGTCTGGCTGGCAAGCCCCTCCATCTCACAGAAAGACTGCCTGCCTCCATTTCCTCACCTCTGGTAAGGGAGGCTTCCTTAGCGGTGCTTCTGAAGGAGGGGCGAGACAATTTACCTTCCTTGCTAGGTAGAAGCTTATGTCCCATCTCCAGCTCAATCAGCTCTCCTGCTACTTTGTCCCTAGCACCCCACTCAGCACACCTGCCCTTACCCAGAAAACCACCCAGAGAAAGTTTCTGGCCTTCTGGCAGAGAGGAAGTGTACCAACCCAGATCAAGAAAGAGGAATTGAAAAAGAGTGGAAGTGTGGGCCCACCTGGACCGGGCAGAAGCCACATAACCACAAAGCTAAAGGAGCTAAAGGAGATGGAGCCGAGACCACCAGACCACCAGACACCTCCGTGCCCCCTTTTCTGTCAGTGCTCAGGTTTCTCAGCAGATATAAGGACACACAGCCTGGGAGCAAGCGGGAGTCTCCAACCGGCAGGGCAAGGGTCTAGTTCTACTCTGGCGCGCGTCGGTAGGCACAGGAGCGTCCAAAGGGGACGCTCCCGCTGTCGTGGGCGGCCCCCTCCCCCGCCCCGCGAGGCCAGCAGCCTACTGGTGTCGCGGGCTATTTCTGGGTGTGGAGGGGGAGGGGAACGGTAAGAGGGACAGGGAACTGGGGCGCTGGGGCCAGGAAGCCGGGGAGCGAGTCCTTCCAACCGCTACCTCCCCGGAAGCAGGACCCCGCTCCGACTCGCGCCCCTCCCTTCCCTCCCCCTGAGCCCTAAACTGCCGGCCACCACGGAGAACCGGCAACTCATCCTCGGCTGGGCCTCTGCCCTCCGGGCTCGGGGACGGAACGGGGTCCTCTAGCGACGAGGGTGGGTGAGGGTAGTCAGCAAGCTCAAGGTCCTGAAGAAGGTGATTTGGGCTGCAGCCGAACGGACAGAGCTGGGAGAGGGTGTAGCTCGGAGCCTAGAGGATCGCAAAGGTCCTGGGAAAGGGGGCTCCTGGCAGCAGCACAGCGCGGGGTGGCACCCCAGCCCAGGATGCCCAACAGGGCAGGGGCGGGAGTCCCATCCTGGTCTCGGTGCCCCGGGGAGCGCTCACTCGGCATAGCCGGTGCTCCAAGGCAGGCGGCGGCCCGTGTCCGGGGGGCTCTGCACAGCCCGGCCCGCATGGTCGTCCGCGCGTCGCAGCCCCCCGGGGCTCAGCTGCAGGAAGGTCGGTCTAGAGAAGCTCGCTCGAGCCTCAGTGGTCTTCGCGGGTGCCCCGCTCCCGCTCCTGGGCCTCGCCGGAGGACTCTTGGGCGCTTCTGGAGCGGCGGCCGGCGGCGCCGCGGTCGCGTTGGGTAAGTCCGGGGATTTAGGGCTCGGAGGCGGAGCGCCCCCGGAGCTCACCAGGTGCGCCACGGCCGAGCGCACTCGGTTTAGCATGCTGTCTCCCTGCCCCGCCCTCGGCCCGACCCGGCCCGCCCCCGGTGACCCCGCCCACAAACAAGCCCCGCCCCCAGGGCGCGGGTGGGCGGTGCTTCCCTGCCCAAGGCTCCAGGCCCAAGATTCCCTGCCAGCTGAGCCCGAGCCGCGCTAAACTCTCCCAGGCTCTGCTACCCCGAGAACGACTATTGGCCTTTTCCCCTTCCCATTTTGGCCTCACCCTGACCATCCTACACCAGTTTCGTTGTGTGAGAAAAGGAAAGAGTTCGTTGCGCGAGAAAAGGAAACCTTTCAGGCGTGCTTGTAGGTTAGGCATTAGCTACAACTTATTTGTCGTCGTGAGAATGGAGGACTGGCCTGCAGGACCTTGGAGCTGATGACTTCAGAGCGAAACAGCAGCTCCGGGGAGTTGGGTGCGAAGCATCTGATGTGATCACACCTCTGGCTGGGGTTGCTGAGGTGAGAGAAGAGCGAGCTGTTGTGTGTTGGGGGAGGTAGGTAATCTGGCCGACCTCAAGGCGCCCTCAAGGCGCTGTTCGCTCTGAAGGCCACATCACATCCGGGAGACCAGCTGCCGCTGACACCCCACTTTTTCAGAACCGTGGCCCCTGCCCCACTCAGATCTCCCCTGAGTTAGGATAACAACATAACTGCTGTTTATTGAAGACCTGGGTCTCCTACAAAGAATGTTCCACACATTAGCGACTTATACTGCACACCAACCCTTCAAGGTGGATTTTTATTATAGCCATTTGATGGATAAGGCATCCCTGGCCGCTCCTGTCATTTTACCTGACTTGTCCCAAAAGTCACACAATCAATGTGAAATTCACATTCATCTGTTCCTGACACCCAAACCGAGATCTGCTGTACCAACCGAGCTGCTTTCTCGGGGTGGATGAGTGGGAAGAAGACGATGGCAGGGAGAGGAATGGGGTTCCTCACCTCCCACTCTCCTTCCTATAAAGGCCAAGGTTGAGAGTGTGTCGGGATGCTGAGCAAGTTCTTTGGCTACCACCAAGGGGAGATCGATGCCACCCAAGAGTCCCCCGTGGGCTGTCGGTGGTTTCTGGCTTCCCGCCTTGGGTGAGGCAGGTACTGATCAGACAGAGGAAGAGCTACGGCCCTAAACATGATATCAGGGCGTTGATTATGGGGTCCCAGAGACAACGGCCTAACCCACAGTTCAAATGACGCCAAGGCCCTTGTGGGCCTAACTTAATCTGGGGCTCCACTTCTAAGCATTGGCTACTTCCTAACCTACCCTAATTTCCCTAGCTAAACAGTGTTCCCAGAAGGGCTGGCTTTCCTGGTAGCTTCTGAATAAAAATCCCACAATGGTCATTCAGCTTTATAGACTTGTTGTAACTGTGCTTGAGCTTTGAGCAGAAAGAGTCAAAAAAAAGTCACAAAAGGAAAAAAAAAAAGTCAGATTCCAAAACACACAGAACAGCAAAGGCAGACAGGGACAAAGAACACATTGCTATTTGGGGTGTTTCCCTCATTCGGGAAATGCGAGCCAGCTCTAAAGAATGGTGTAACATCAGTGGCAAGCCAAAGACTGAACAACAACAAAATAACCCCTGGTTATTTTTATTATTATATTTATTATTTTGGTTATTTAGTATGAAACAGTTTATTTTCCACTTCTTAGAGTCACCCAGCTTCTTATTCCCTGCTCTTCACACCAGCCATAGTGTGGCTGAAAAAGTGGATTACAAAGGTAAGGCCTAGAGACACCTTGGCTGCAGCACCAGAAGCTCAGTAGAGAAGTTTGACAGCTCCTTTGGGCTCCAAAGAGCCTTCCACCTCTACCCAAACCCTAGGGCTCTCATCTCCTGGAGTTTCTCACCCGTTCTTGGCACCATCACTACTCCATCCTGACAGTCCCTGTTCTGGTGAGGAGGTCATCACCTCTGTATATCCTGGAGGCCGCAGAGGGTGAGAAAGGAAGGGGACATGGTGGTATTTTTATTTCAGCTGAGTGCTGACCAAGACTGCTCAGTATCTGGCCCTGGCAGGAGAGAGCAAGGCCTGAGCCAGGAGCTTCAAGACAGTCTCCTTCATCTCAGGTCACCTGCAGTGACTCAGAGGCCAGCAATGAGGTTCTTCCCTCTTGCCTGTCCTCCACATTACCCCATTCCCACGGATCTCTGTACAAAAAGATAAGTCCCTCCTGTGAAGAGTGAATTTACAGAACTTCTCTGCTTCTCACATATGAAATATAACCCTATAAAGAATTGTACAGTTGCAATTATATCACACACTGCTGAAGAAATGAGGTCCTAGAGTGTGGTTCCCAAATGGAGATTCACACTTGCCATCCCTAGTGACCATTCAGTCACCTGCTGCAGCCCTCCCGCCTGGAGCCCTATCCTCCTATCCTCCTAGTACTTCCTGCCCCACGGCTCCGCTTCTAGGGTGGTGGTACAGTATTTACTAATCCCTCCTAACACTGATCTAGGAGAGAGCTGTACAACCATGGGAATGCGCTGCATCTGCTGCGTCCCAGGCACTACAGTCCCTAGCTCCCTGTGGCCTTGGCACTTTAAAATAGCACTCGCATGCTAATGAAACTGAATTTTTATGAATTTAGACTTATGGCATGCATCTAGTGCCTAACCGAACTGGGCAGTTCTGTTCAACATGCTTAAAGTTCAAAACCCCTGCGGATCTGGGCAATGAAGTCCCACCCCTCCTCGCCCCCACCTTCTCCTCCTTCCCTTGCCAGAGGACTTGCGGATCCCTGTCCAGATCTGGACGGTTTGGAAGGATCGCCAGCCCCAGAGTTGCCTTGTCCCACAGGAGCGAGCTGTCCTCCCCGGCGGAATCCGCTGGGCCCTGCACCGCCAGGGGCCGCTGCGAGCCCGCTGTGCCTCCCGGGCGCCTAGCGCTGTCCGGGAGAAGGCGGTGGCGCCCACGCTGGGCTGCGGGAGCTGGGGCTTCCCCCGCAAGCCAGGAGCGGCGGTGACGGAGAGCGCTCCCAGGCCTGCGGGTGGGAGGCTCGGAGAGGACCTGTCTGCGCCCCGCACGGCCTGCGGGCTGGACTGGATCGTCCCGGTGTTTGGAGCCCAGCCACGAAGCCGATGAATCGAGCTTGGCCAGAGTCCCGCCATCTCGGGGTCTCAGTAATTCGGTGACCAAGGGGACAGAGCTCCGGAATAGACAGCGCCTAAGGTGGCCGCTCCGCCTGGTGCCTGCCTTTCGGAGTCCTGGTCTCAGGCGCAGAGGGAGGGAGAACCTCAGACCGGCAGCCTGGACCAGTGGGACCTTGCCGGGGCAGGTAGGACCCATGTGTGAGGGTTTAGAATTTGGAGGGGTAAGGGGGCGTTCAAGGAAGTGGATAGCAGAGGCCAAGGATGGAGGTTCTTGAGGTTCACATCCTCAACTCCTTGCTGGTAATGCAGGTTGCTCTGTTAGCCTCTCTGTAAGGTAGCATGGATTGGAGTTTGGGTAAAACAGGCTGGGAAACCGAGGCCGAGTGGGGAAGCCTAATAAGTGCTACGAGCTTCTTTTTCCAACTCCTTCTGGGAAGGGAATAGAATATCAGAGAGCCTGATCCCAACTTCTCTTTCTTCAGGTCTTTTGGAACCTGGGATTCACAGAAGAGATGGGGAAGTTGGATTTCAGAAAGAAATGGGCTCCCCTGAGAAACAGACAAGCTTACATTTGTAGAGGCTAAAAAAGGGGTTCCTGATGGGGGCAGGGAGAGGTGGAAAAGACATGCGCCTGGCAGGACTGGGAGCTGTCTGTCTATGGAGCACACCTATTCCCTCTGTGATCCCATTGTCCCCCCCCCCCCCAGGCCTCTCCCTCCTGGAAGCTAGAACACCCAAGGCTCTCAGTTCTTCCTCACCATCCTGTGTATTTTGGTTCTGTGTCTCTTTGGTAGCTGAGGGAGGCCCATGGGGAGAATGCAGAAGCTGCTGGGGGCTGGGACTTCTGAGGCTCAGAAACCTGATGTACCCCCATTGTAACCCTCTGGAGTGGAAATGATGGTGACAATGGCAGAACTGAGCCAGTTCTATGCAAGTCCAGGAAGCAAGTGCCACAGGACAGGGGTGAGGTGGGGATGTTGGAGGTTGAGGCAGGGGACTCAGGGTGTCAGGAATCCTCCCCAGGGGCCTCCTCAACTAGAAACTGATGCATCCTGCTCAGGACCCTTCCCCAATACTCAGCTATGCACCAAAGCCAATAATGACAGTACTGATTTTTAGACCCTCCCTTCCCCGTGCTTCACTCCTGGAGCAGAGAAGCTCCCCAGCCTCTCCTCCCAGGCTCCCTGTGCCCTGCCTTTTCAGAGTCTGAGGGGCCCTGCACTGTTCCCATGGCAGAGGGAGAGATTTGGCTGCTGCTTGAGATCAGTTTCTGTTTGGACTGTACTGCCCAGGCCCACCCCTGGCCCTTTCCCAAGCATCCCTTCACCTGCTGTAGGTTCCCGGGCTACCCTCTGTCCCTCACATTCCCACCCAGCCCCAGTCTTTCCTGCTTGCCCAGGTGGAGTGAGTCTGAGGCCAGCAGATGGACAGACAGAGACTGAAGGAGCCTGAAGAAGGTAAGTGATGGGAAGTGGGAGACAGAGATCAGGCATCCTATCCTTGGAAGTAGCTGGGTTCCACCATTAGGTTTGGCCTCTGGGGTTCCCAGAACTGTCTGACACTTGAGGGAGCTCCAAAGGGCTAACAGAGCAGTAGACAAGGTGACCCAGGCTTACCCCTGAGCTTGAGGCCACTCTTGTCCCCTTCTATGGCTAGGCATCTCCCAGCTACTTTGTGCTTCTTCCCTGTGTTTCTCTTCCTTTCTTCTCCTTCTGTTTCTAACTCACCCTCTGGGATAGATTTTTGAGGTTGAGCCATTATGCGTGGAGGAAGAGAAGGAAAGAATATGAGAGCAAACGCCATGTGGGGCAACAGGCAGAGAGCAAACTTCTGGGCTCTGGTCTCAGCCACCAAGGGCTTCGTGGCCTTGGGCAAGTCCTTTGACTTCCATTAGTCTCGGTTTAATTTCTTTCTTTTTAAATGTAAATTTTGTGCCGTGTATGGCGGTGTACACCTGTAATCCTATTACTTGGGAGGCTTGCCATGAGTTGAGGCCAGTCTGGATTTCGTAGTGAGCTCAAGCTCAGCCCAATCTACATAGAGACTGTGTCTCAAAAAACAAAAATAATTTTAAATTTTGTTTAAATTGAATTGCTACTATATTCCCATGGCTTGAAACTCAAAAAGAACTTGGGGGAAAAAAGAGGTGTCTTGGGGGCTGGGGATTTAGCTCAGCGGCATAAGCGCCTGCCTAGCAGGCAGTCGTGAATTCGATCCCCGGTACTGATGAAAAGGAAAAAGACAAAAAAAAAAAAGAGGTGTCTCTTCAACCTCCATCTCTTAGCCAACTAATTTCTCTTTTTAAGGGCAAACAATATTGTTATTTTTTTAGTTCATTTTCCAGGTCTAGTTTAAGCATATTCAAGTAACACAAATAGATCCTTTCTTTTACATGTTGTGCACATACCTTTAATATTTTGCTTTTTTCCCTTTCATGGTGAAGTCTCACTGAAGATCACTGCATGTATCATTACCAAAAGACCTTTCCCCATTGTTTTTTTACTGCCATCTGGAAAAGACTGCATTTGTACAGATTCTCTACAATGCCCTCAGCCAGTCCTTTACTGATGATTATTTGGGTTGTGTCCAAGCTTTTTAGCCTTTCATTTGCTCTTCTGTAAAATAGATAATAACAATTCTGCTTTGTGGTATAGTCATGAAGGGCTCAGGAGCATGCATGTGAAACGCATGGGTCAGGAGCTCATAAAGTGGCGTAAGCATCATTGTTCTTCCCATGTCGCAACCCTCTAGTTCATTCTGCAAGGCCACTTTTAAATGTCATCTGCTCCATGGGCTGTCCCTTCCTGCTCTGTTGTCCTCTGATAGCACTCATCACTTCCTACACTAACCTCATGCCTGGCTGCGAACTGCCTGGGGACACGGTGTACATCCTCCTGGAGGGAATGGCACGGAAAGGGGGCTCCTGCCTGGAGCTGAGGTGGCTGTGTGCTTTTCTCCACAGAATGAGCTGGGGGACCATGTGGAACTGGAGCCCAGGTGGCTGGCTGCAGGCATTGTGCCTGGCCTGGCTATGGACCTACCTGGCCTTGGCATCCTTACAACCACCAACTGCCACAGGTTTGGGACAGGTGGTGGGACTGGGACCTGCAGAGCTGACAACACCCCACCCCATCCACATAGCAAGGTGGACTAAACTCTACAGATTAGGGGGTTCTGGTTGCTTCTCTGTTTACCACCCAGGAAATACTGCCCCTTATGCTGCCTCAGCCAGGAGAAACTCTGGGCAGGCCCATTGCTCAGCATCCCTTCCACTGTGGAAGGAGTTCTGCAGGGAGTGAGGCCCCTCTGTGGGAGCTTAAGTCTAGCCTCCTGGCCTAATTCTGGGGTTTTCCTTCTGGGATAGCTAAAGCCTGTGTAAGCGGATGATCCTCCCCATGCATTGTAAGCCCCGGGGCCCTTACACTCACCCTGAGAAGGCAGGAAGGCAGGGGCTGATATAGGATGTCAGATTTTTTCTGCCCATGGGCCAGGCTCTGCCAAAGAGTGATAAGTATACATGGTCTCCCTGGGGAGGGAGAGGAAGATTTCACCCTCTTCCTCATCCCTCAGACATTTAGAAATCTTTTCAAACTTGTCAGACTGGATATTATGCATGCAAGGCAAGCATTCTATAACTGAGCTGCATCCACAGCCCCAGAAATATTTAACCTCCCAAGCAGGGAAGAGGGGAAGGAGGACTAGCCCTGGATAGAGGAGGGTGGGGAGCAGGGCAGGGGACTGGGCTGGGTGCCTGATCTTATACAGCTGGCCCCATCAGTCCTGGTAAAGCAGGGGACCTGTGAGGTGATTGCTGCTCACCGATGCTGCAACCGGAACCGCGTTGAGGAGCGCTCCCAGACTGTCAAGTGCTCCTGCTTTTCTGGCCAGGTGGCTGGCACTACACGGGCAAAGCCCTCCTGTGTGGATGGTGAGTGAGAGGCCAGGTCCCGGGCAGGCGGGAGGCCCTGAGAAGAGAGATAAGGAGGTCTGTTCTGGCCTCACCATCTGCTGGGGCTCCAGTTTCATACTCATCTCAGGGCTTTCATTATCAAAGTCTCAAATGATGGGTCACCTTCTCAGGGAGACACAGCCAGCCAGGGTCATAGATAAGGAAAACGCTTGTTAGGTGCCTGTCCTCCCAACACATCCATAGCCAGGCACACGAACAGCTGCATTCCCTCATGTGCTGTGCTGCCCCACACTGACTCCTCCAGGCTGGTTGTCACCTTCTGCTCCTTTCTTTGGTCGCTTCCCTCTCATTCGCAGCCCTGCCTCTACCCTCCCCTCACATGTGTCCTTCACACATCCCCTTCCCACCTCCCCGTCCACATTGCATCCTCACGCTCATGAGGCATCTGTATAACCATCACCCTGTGTTCATACACACTCCTGGTCTTCAGACTCCTCCACATGGCTCACACACTTGCTCACACATACCAAAGGGTCTGCTGAAGATTGTACCTCTGTGCTAATGACACAGCCTCATAGGTTACTTCACTCTCCTGTCCTCCCTCGAGATGTTTGGAGAGATGCAGAGATCTATGGCATGGCACTTAATAGGGTTACATCACCAGGCCTCAGTCTGAGTACAGCACTGCTTCTCTAGGCAGCAAACAGTAGAGAGAGACAAGGGAAATGCAAGACTCAAAGCTGGGGTGTGTGGAAATGGGTGCCATTGCCACATACCCCCTATTACCTGCCTGTTGTATTCACAGAGAGCTTAGAGCTGTGTTCCTGCCTCTTCCTGCCCCACAGCCTCCATTGTCCTGCAGAGGTGGTGGTGTCACATGGAGCCCTGCCTGCCAGGGGAAGAGTGCAAAGTGCTCCCAGACCTGTCAGGATGGAGCTGCAGCAGTGGACACAAAGTTAAAACCACCAAGGTATCTGGCGAGTAAACTTTTCACCCTATCCTTCCTCCTCCTCCTTTATTTGGGACAGCAAGGGTGGCATCGGGGCTCTGGGAATCCAGGATGGCATGTCCTAAGGTGGCACTGGTGAACCATGAGAATGTGTCCCAGACAGTTCTTCTGGGTCTGTCCTGACCCCGGGAGTTTGAGTTACAGTGCTGGATCTGAAATCCAGTGTGTTCTTCAGGACAGAACCTTGATGTTCTGTATGCCTCAGTGTCTTCCTGTTTGGCTAGAGGGAGTCTACCTCCAGAAAATGCCAGATCTGTACAAACAAAGTGAAGTCCAGGCACATAGGTATGCACCTGTAATCCCAGGCAAGTGCAGCCTGCACCAAATAGTGATATCCTGATTCACAAAAGCCAAATAAAAATGGCTAGGAATAAAGCTCAATGGCAGAACATTTGCTTAACAGGCCTGGTGTCAACCCCTACACACACACACACACACACACACACACACACACACACACGAAGAATTGATTAAATTATCTAGGTAATTCAGGGAAGGAGTCACTATTCCTACTTGAATTTCAAGTAAAGAAGCCACTGTGTCAACTACCTCTGACATCCACACTCACCCGACTCTCATGACTATTAACTCCCTTTGCTTCATGCCTACCTTTCTCTGGTCAAACTGCTCTGTCGGTTGTGAAAGTACCCAGGAGGATTATTATGTTCATGGTTTGCTGCCTGCCCCACAAACAAGGGTGTAATTAAAATTTTATCAAAATTGTTAGCAATTCCAAGTGTGTCGTAGCTAATTAGTTACATCACTTTGTCACCTTCCATTTGTATGGATGACTGTCAGTTCGGGGCAAACCAAGGCACTGCCATCTGCTTTCTCTATCCACACACACAGCAAACAGGCAAACAAATGGAAGGAAAGGTGACTTCCATGGTTCTGAAGAAAGCAACTCTTTTTAGAGAGCACAGAACAAAAGGAGCCACCCCAAGAAGCCATTTGGCTGGACATAGAGTATCCTACCTGAAGGTAGGGAAGAGAAACAGTCAATCTCAGTATATTTAAGCCTACAAGAGGGCAAGACCCACTGCAGAACTCAACATCTGCTACCGTGTTATAATTTCATTTGTAGTGCGTAAGGCTGATCACTGCATTGAGACTCAGAAGTAAGTGGTGGTAAGGCTTTCTTGGTTTGTTTGCATGGGCCACCAGGCCACACTTTCCATGCCAAGACTGCTTTAGGAGAAGACCAGCAGCAATGGCCTCTAAATAACCTGCATATTGTAGGGAACCTCTGGTATGCTGGAAAGGATGCACATTGCCTTCTCTAACCTTCTTGTATCACTTGCTCTGTAGGTCACACGATAGCTCTTGGGGGTCACAACTGAGGACAGGCTTGATTAAACTGTGGACTGAAGAATGGCATTTAGCCATCAGCCAGCAAAATGGGAATTCACTGTCCTGGACACATGCTTTATGCCAAATGCAACATCAGTCATTCCAGGAGCATTTCATTGAAGCTGCTTGGCAGATACGATGAATCACCAACCACATACCTAGACTGCCGTGTGCTGGTGGAGACAAACAAGAAGGTCAAGACACAATTCTTGATCTCAAGGAATGGCCAGTCAAGTTGGGGAATTGATGGCCAATAGTTTAGAAAATTCGAAAGTATATATCATGACTTCTGAACCACGTCTCTGCAGGCACATGGTAGGGGCTTGGAGATGAGACTTCCATACCTCTTCAGCCATCCTCTGATGACAGAACACAAAGACAAGAGGTCACATTTGGCACCTTTTCACTCTCCTACACATCAGTCCTGAATCTCCACCCAGCTGCTACATGTTGAAGGAAAGTCCTCTGGCTTATGCCAGGCAGGTGGTATGTCAAATAAGATGGACTGAGTTGGGGAAGGCAAGCAAAGATGAAGTAGAATAACTTTCCAGCAAAGCATTCACAGAAGCATAGCATGGTTTGGGCTGTTCATCGAGTATGGGATGAGAAGGTCCTCAGAATATCCCTCATTCAAACCTCTTAGAGTTTTGTTCATTTGTTCGTTTTAACAGATGAGGAAACTGAGTCCCAAAGTGGTGAGGTGATTTGGTCAACATCTCACAACTTGAGCTCCCAAATCTCTATGATTGTACCCTACCCTAGAACCAATGTTGGGTTCTAACTTGGTCCTTCCATGTTAATTTTTTTTCACGTACAGGACCCTGTAATGTACTAGCTGAGTATCAGCAACATTTTTCTCAGGAAATACTGGAGTGGGGACTTTGGCCAAGGCCATGTTCTCCTGTCCAAAATAATTCAGAGACCTCAGGGTATGGTGTCATTTGGTCTCTACTTGCCCCTAACTCCCAAAATTCCACACAGGCTTCATGACAGCCTAGAGGTCACTCAGCCTAGTTAGACCTGGGGAACTCTGAGCTAGTGTCACCGTTGCCTGTCATACTCATCTCTGGAGTCTCTAGGCTGGAGGCTCTGCCTCCAGTGGTGTAAGGTTGTTCAGGACCCTCTCCCTTTGAAGGCTGTGCTGAGACAGAAAGCATGGCAGGCTGGAGGATCCTTTGTCCAGGACTGATGATCTGTACATTTGGACTGGCACCCTAAATGACTTGGGGATGACACTGGGCTTCAGAAAAAGAACCACAGCTTCCCTGACTGTGAGTGTCACAGGGCTTTAGGGTGTAGGGTGTCATTAGTGATCAGTCTGGGAGCTTCTGAATTCCAGCCCTCAGAGGGGACAATCCTGATGGTGGTTTAAGCTGAACCGTCTTCACCTACATCATACAGTAGAGCCAAGGCTGTTACTCTTATCTCCTCATCCACCACCATGTACTTTGATTTTATTTTTGTTAATAGAGTGAACAGTGATGTGAGCTTATCACTGAACTGAAAATAACAGAAACTTGACAATCTAAATATCTGCATATAGTGAGCTCATGAGATACAGCAGTCAAGGAGCTGAGCAAAGGCTGTCATTGCCTCCATCAAGGCTAGAGAATGGAGGCTGAAAAATGGAGCAAGGGGTTGGCAATTTTTTTTCTGGAAAGGACTTAGTAGACATGCCAGGCTTTGTGAATCACATAAGTCTCTGTTGCATATTTTCTTTGTTCTTATTAAAAAATGCAAGAGCCATTTTTATCTTGAAGGACATATGGAAACAGACCCTGGCCCCTTAACAGAAGTTTGGTGACCCCTGGGGAATCCTTGAACGCACTCTGCACCTTCCTGGCCTGCCCTTGGTTTGTCAGTCAAATAGAAACCTGAGCACAAGGGCTGGGTCAGGTTTTGTTTTTCTTCTAATGCTCCTTGAGTGAGTGAATTATTTAGGCTACAAATGAGATAGCTTTAACAGAGTCAGACAATAAAAATCCACCCTCTTGGAGACTAGAATGTAGGCTGCTCCATTCTGTCTTCAGCCTTGAGACTATGCTCAGGAGGCTGGAGAGGGCTGCAGCTCAGCTCATCTGTCATCCACAAGCCACTGGGCTATGCTATGGCTGGGGAATGAGCTGAGGAAGGAAGGGACAATGTGCTACATAGTGTACCTTAGCTGCCAACCGCAGCTGGCCCCTGCTTCAGTCCACCACCTGTTTCCCTGACTTTCCCAAATGCCCCCTCCTCCCTGCTTACTGAAAAGACTTCCTTCTCTCCTTTGATGTGTGATGGAATTTGCTAGCTCTTTGTTTTAGTTCCTCTAAGCCTCATTTCCTCTAGAACTGCTCAAGTATTTATTTGGTGGGCTTTGGGAAGTACCTTTTTTTTTTTTGACAGGTCCTTACTGTGTATCCCAGGCTGTCCTTAAACTCACTGTGTACCCCAGGCTGGCCTTGAACTCAAGGCCTCTTGAATGTTGGGATCACAGGCATGCATCACCATATTTGGCTCAAGAGAATACCTTTTTTCAGATCAGAAGAGCTTCATGTAAGTTCTCTGGGGTCCTGTTTCCAACTGAACCAATATTTGTATGTGTTTTATAATTATTACAATGACAGTCTAGAAATGTAAATTAATTTCCCTGGAGGATAGGGTTTCTAGAGTCATCTAGCATTTATTTTCCTACCCTTGGTGAGATGAGATCTCAGATTCTTTGAAGTTGACTGGACCCCATCTCCCTCAGGCTCTGAAGGCCTTAGGAAGGTTGCCAACTACAGATCATGTGCAAATTTCTCTTGGCCTCCTGGCAGTTTCATTACGGTCTGAGTGACATCCTAATTAATGGCCCCAGACAGTTACACAGAGTTGAGGCTACAGCTTCCTAAAATCACAAAGCTTACAGCTAGAAGGGATTTTAGAGTCCAGTTAGCTAACTCCCTCATTTGATAGATGAGGCTCAGGGAGGTTAGGTAATATGTCCAAAGTCACACAGCAGGCTGGTGGCATATCTTGCCCAGTGATCAAGACAAGTGTTCTTGATAAAACAAGTGTTCCTTCCACTACTGCATATCACATCTTATCTCAAAACAGATAACAGCCTGGAAGTAAGCCAGGATTTTAGTGAGAATAAAAGTGAAAGTGTCTCATTCTAGAATCACCCAACCCTTTGAATACACCGGGACAGAAGGAAGAAGCAGCAGCATTTGGAGATACATACAGAGAAAGAGGAAAGAAGGAGAAAAATGGAGGAATTAGCTAGGCATGGTGGTGCATGCTTGTAATCTCAGGGTGAGAGAGGAGGATCACTGTGAATTCAAGGCCAGCCTAGGAGTGAGACCCTGTCTCAAAAAACAAAACAAAAAAAAATAGCAATGATGAAAAAAATGCAGAAATTGACATCATTCATTCAAAATATAACACTAAAGCACAGAATATTAAAAAGTAAATGAATAAAGCACAGAATATGACTTATACCGCATCAAAAATAGCTGATTTTTGTCTTGTCTGGAGGAGACAGAATGAAGTCCTTATCTCTGCTTGGCAAATCTGCAAAGCCAGCCTTGATGGCTGATGGATGCTTCGCATCCTACTACAGGGATCTCTGCACTAAAGCTTGTGAGTCATCTTTTTTATAAATAAAGTTTTATTGAAACAACCATGTTTATTTGCTTATTATTACCTTTGGCTACTTTGGTGCTGCAGCAACAGAGTTGAGCCATAATGAAGAGACTGTCTGGCCCACAGAACTTAAATGGAAAAGTTTTGCCAGTCCCTTCCATAGTGATTTTATTGAAGTTTTCTAAATATCTGCATCCTTGCATCTAGAAAATAATAATTGCATTGTATTTTTGCATTTAGGACCTCTTTTTCTTTGACCCTGCATTTGCTGCATTATTTTTAACCTTTTCCAGTGCCTTTCATGATATCTGACCACTGAAGAAATGAAGGCAAAGATTAAGAGGTCAAGAGAGCCTCAGAGCATCTAGGTACATTCCTAGTGTGTTGCCTTACCCAACATCAGTTCATATTTCCCAAGTTCATGTAACTTCTACTTTTCAATTTAAGGAAGATAACTGCATATATACCCATTTATAAAGCTGTAATTGTGCATATATGTAACTGTTAGTGTTTCTGTATGTCTGTGAACTATAGTGTCTCTGAGCCCACATGCAAGGATGATATTCAAAATACATACAAATGAACTCAGCACAGAGAATGATTATAACAGATCAGACCAGAGCACATTTGCTGCACACAGCCCAGCCCATAACTGCACATCCCCACTCCATTTGGTGTGGCTGAGATGGGGTCCCATCATGGGAATGGGACCCATTTCCCACTTCCCCCAGTGTGAGCAGCCAAGCTGGTTCCTGATGCCGTTGAGCTTGTGACTGTGGCTGACAGAGTTGGCCAAAGGAAGGGACCTGTAAACTAGAGGTCCTCCACAACAGGGCATCCTCCAGAAACTCAGGAATATGTCCCACAAGATAATGCTCAATCTCTACAATGGAAAGAGAAATTCATTTCTGTTAAATAATTTGCTCAATATCAAGCAGCATGTGGCATGTGATGGTTTTGTGTCATATTAATTTGGGTAAGCTGGGAATACATTCCCTCAAACCCTCTTTACAGGGTAGTTCTGGATTACAGTTGTCAAAAGATTTATTTGTAAATGACTTCAAAGGCTGTAACCACAGCAGCAGCAGCAAGCTGAAGATTGTCATAGTTAGAAGTATCAGTAGGTTCCAGACTTTATTCTCTCCCACTCCACATTCACATTTGTTGAGAAACTCCCAGCCCTTCTGAACAACAAAAGGCAATAGACTCCCATTAACAGTTCTCCAGGACTTTGCTTTAGTAGCTGGCATGCTTGAGGTCAGAGAGTTTGAAAAACTTCTCTAATTCAGAGTATTGCGGAAGATATCTCAGAAAAATTTATGATAAAGTGTGGGGAAGTGAATCACCATGATACAAATATGAAAATATTTATGTCTTATATGAATGCTCACCAAAGTGAACGCCAGCAGAGGAAGATCTTAAATCAGGACACAAAGACTTTACATTCTTTCCCCAGCCATGTTCTTTAGCTACCCCTGTCGTGAGCCATCTAGCTCACAATCCAAGTGTACAGAATGAAAGGATAGAAAGCATGTGTAATTAAATAGCATTCATCAAGTTTGATGTGCTGAGTGGCCACCTTGCCTACAGTAGAGGCTAACATTGAACCATCAGCATAATGCCATTGCCCAGTGAGTAGCCAGTCACTTGGTGGCAGTTGCTTACACTGGGACACTTCTATTATGGAAGGGGCAAGCTACTTCTCACCAGCGGGCCTTTACTCTGCCTATGGATTTTGTCTTTCTGGCCCACATGGGGGTACCCAAATCACCAAACTATAGAATATCTGGTTCATGGTTATAGTATTTCATCAAATATAGCTTCTGATCCAGAAACTCCTGTACAGCAAATAAAATACAGCAATGGGCTCATAGAATTCAAAGGTCTTACAATATACCTGGTCACTCTGAAATAAATGGCCCAATAGAATGGCAGATGGTAGTTGGGAGATTCAGTTACAATTCTAGCTGAGAACAAATCCTGGGCAGATCTGTAGCAAGATCCTCCAGGATGTTATATATGCCCTGAATCAGTGACCAATGTACAGTGCTGTTCCCCGACAGTCAGAATTCATGGGTCTGATAATCAAGGGGTTGGAAGAGGAATGGTTCACCTCACTATGACTCCAAATATACACAGGGCAATTTTTGGATTATAGCCTCACAACTTTGGGCTCTGTAGTTTTAGAACAGAATGTATCTGTCTAGGGGAATGGGGATATAGCTCAGTAGCACAAGCACCTGCCTAGAAAGCATGAGGTCATGAGTTTGATCCCCAGTACCAAAAAAAAAAAAGAAAGAAAGAAAGACACACACACAATATGTATCTGTTTAGAAGACAGTGGAGCAATACGCAGCAGCAAAAACAGCCTGAGAGTCACCATCCAGATGCTGGAATATAGCATCGTGAGGAACAAAGAAGGAAGGAAGTGGGTCCCTTGGACCCAGGAAGAATCTGAAGTGTGAACTGAAGTCCACAGAGAGAGTGAACAGAGAAACTTCAACGAAGAAGATGGCAATTAGGATTGAAAAGGGTGAAATCACAACAGACCATGAAAAATCCAGAAAATCATCTATACCAACTCTGAAAACTTGTATTCTAACATGATAGAAAAAACAGAAGAAATGTACAGATTCCTAGATACATATGAATTATCTAAGTAGAATCAAGAAGATATAAAAAAATCTAAATAACCCAATATCAATAAATGAAATCAAAGATTTAATTAAAAAACCTATCAACAAAGAAAAGCCCAGCTCCTGATAGATTCACTGCTGAATTCTACGAGAAATTTAGTGAAGACCTAATACCACTTCTTCTCAAATCTAAAATGATATTGAAAGGGAAGCAATACTCCAAATTCATTCCTGGAAGCAAGCAATATTCTGATTCCAAAACCAGACAAGGACCAAAGAAAGAGAATTACAGGCCAATCTCCCTAATGAACATTGATGCAAAAATCCTCAATAAAATACTACCAAATAAACTACAGCAAATCATCAAAAAGACTATACACCATGATTCATCTCAGCAATGCATGGATGGTTCAACATACGTAAGTCCATAAATGTAATACACCACATTAACAGAGCCAAGAACAAAAATCATATGATCATTGTAATAGATGCAGAAAAAGCTTTTGACTATGTCCAGCACCCGTTCATGATAAAATCCCACAGAAAATTGGAATAGATACTCTTTACCTCAATCTGATAAAGATGATCTATGACAAACCAACAGCCAGCATCATGATAAATGGACAAAAACTGAAAGCTTTCATTCTAAAATCAGGAACAATGGGCTGGGAATTTAGCTCAGTGACTTAAGTGCCTGCCTGGCAAGCGCAAGGCCATGAGTTTGATCCCTGGTAACTAAATAAATAATAAAGTCAGGAACAAGACAAGGATTTTCACTGTCTCCATTCTTATTCAACATAGTCCTGGACTTTAGCTGGAGCAATTAGACAAGAGAAAGAAATAAGAGGAATAAAAAGATAGGAAAGGAAGAAGTTAAAGTATCATTATTTGCAGATGACATGAAACTCTACTTAGAAGATACCAAAATGATTATGCTTTACTTAGAAAACACCGAAAGACTTCTAGATTTAAAAAGCAAAGTCGGTAACATAGCTGGTTACAAAGTCAACACTCAAAAATCAATAGCCTTCTGTACACAAACAACAAACTCACTGAGAGAAGTCAGGGAAACAATACCTTTCACAATAGCACCCAAAAAAATGAAATATCTAGGAATCACTCTAACATAGGATGTAAAAGACCTCTATATTGAAAACTACAGTACTCTGAAAAATGATATTGAAGAAGACATTAGAAAATGGAGAGATATCCTGTGCTCTTGAGTAACAAGAACCAATATAGTGAAAATGGCCATACTTCCAAAACTGTTGCACAGATTCAGTGCAATCCCAATCAAAATTCCAACAGCATATCTCACAGAATTGGGGAAAACAATCCAAAAATTCATCTGGAACCAGGAGAGACCTAGAATAGCAAAGGCAAATCTGGACAACAAAGACAAGACAAGGGGAACCACAAGTCCTGACCTGAAATTGTACTATAAAGCTACTGCAATAAAAACAGTGTGGTACTGGTTAAAAAAAACAAAACAAAACACTGAAGATCAATGTAACAGATTAGAAGCTACAAAAACAACTCCAGACACACTAAGCAACCTTATCTCTGACAAAGGTGCCAAATACACTCACTGGAAGAAAGATAGCCTCTTTAATAAATGGTGCTGCAAAAACTGGCTATACACATGCCAAAGATTAAAACTAGGCCCATGTGTTTCACCATGTACTAAGCTAAAATCAGAAGGGATCAAAGATCTTAATATTAATATAGAAGCATTAAATCTGCTGGAAGATAGAGTAGTAAAACTCTTGAAGACATTAGTGTAGGCAGACTTTATGAACAAAACCCAGATCGCACAGGAAGTATCACAAAGAATCAATAGATGGGATCTCATCTTATCGAAAAGCTTTTGCACAGCAAGAATAAAGAGACAACCTACAAAGTGGGAGAATTTAGCCAGCTGTTCTTCAGACAAAGAATTACTATGGAGAGTATAAAGAACTCAAAAAAATCAGTCTTCCCAGATTTAAAGACCCAATCCAAAAATGGGCATCTGAGATGAATACACACCGCTCAGATGAAGAAATACAAACAGCAAATAAATATGCGAAAAAATGTTCATCATCACTGGCCATTAGAGAGTTGCAAATTAAAACAACATTGAGATCCCATCTCACCCCGGAAAGAATGGCTATTATCAAGAAATCAAGCAATGACAAGTGCTGGAGGGGCTGTGGGGAAAAAGGAACACTTCTCCACTATTGGTGGGAATGTAGACTGGTTGCAACCACTGTGGAAATCAGTGTGGAGATTCCTCAAAAAACTTCGACTAAAAGTCTCATTCAATCCAGCTATTCCTTTTCTGGATATCTTCCCAGAAGAATTAAAAACATCATCCTGCAGTGTTATATGTGCACCCATGTTTATAGCAGCATAGTTTATAA